GGGGGGGGGGGGGGGCGGGATTAGGGCAGTAATTCGACCACTCTGGCTTGGATTTCGGAGATAATTGGATAAATCGGGAGGTCCTTCTCTTGCAAAGTTAGAGCTCATCAGCAGGGCCGAACTAGGTTGTAAATACACGATTTTGAGGCGCGAAGAGCTGGTGGAGGAGAAAGTAAGCTGGTGGGAGAAGTCTTGGGCACGCGGACCGAGCACGCGCGCTGGCTTCCACACCAGAGCCCCGGACCAGGATGCAGGTCCCGAGCGAAGCGAAGCAGGGCTCCTGGTGGGGGCCGGGAGGCCGTACGGGCAGAAGGCGGGGCGGGGGTGAGGCCCGGGAGAGCCGGGTTGGGGTCCTTACCGCCAGCCCCAGGGCCTGTAGCATCTCCTTCTGGTCTTTGTCCCCGGGGCCGATGTGTCTCCGAGCGAAGTCGTCGTGTCTGGGGAGGAGGCGCTCGAGGAGGCGCGAGGCCCCGGCCCCGCCGCTATCCCCGCCGCCGCTACTTCTGTCACGGCCCCGCGGCGCCCACCGGGGACCTGTTCCTCCAGCCAGGCGGCGGCCGCCCCCGACTCCGCAACCCAGACGCAGCCCCCAGGCCTTGGCACACGTCTGCATGGTGGTCGTCACCGTCCCCTGCCTGGGCCCGCGAGGCTCAGCCGGGCTTTCTGCTCCTTTTCTGGTCGTAGTCCCCTGGGTGGCGGCTGCCCCCAGGTGGCTGAAGCCCCTTCCCGAAGGATGACCGAAGGGACAGATGGATGTTCAGAGGCAATGAATGGGTGCCGCGCCGATCCCGGACCCGCGCGCAAACTTGTTACTCCTCTCGAAGCACCTGCTTCGCACACTTTAAGCGTCGTTCTGGGGGTGGGCAGTGGGTTAGGCCCAGTGAACGCACGGCCAATGGGAGTGAACGGAAGGGCGGGGCAGGGTCTTCCCTGCCCCGCCCCCTTTCCCTACCCCCTCCTCAGGCCCTCCGCGGGCTCCTCCTGCTCTTCGCGCGGAGCCTTCCATCCTCAATTATTCCTGCTCCATCTCTAGTGGATGCAGGGACCGGGACCCTCCCTGCGATCGGTGCCAGAGGCAACAGGCGAAGTGCCTGAGGGATTCAGCTGAAATGGAAGGTGATTCCGACAGGGAGGCCAAACTCATAGAGCTGGTTAGTCTCTATTAACTTCAGGGTAACTCCCTGTCATATACCTCCTGGAAACCAATATGCGCAGATGAGAGTTTTTATATAGTTGTGGGATCATGAACAAGTTATCCAACCTCTGAGATTCGGTTTCCGCATCTAACAGAGCTGGATAGTATTTAAAAAGAGATCGTACATTGAAACTACAACCATAACACTAGCCTTGAACTCTTCTCTTATCCCCTTTCCCGCCCTGCTCCCTCCCCCCGCGGGAGGGTGTGTGTGTGTGTGTGTGTGTGTGTGTGTGTGTGTGTGTGTGTGATATAAAAAATGCAAAAGATACAAATGTATACATTTTGCACTGTCACCTTAGTTGAAAAATTATTTATACCTGGATATTTTGGAAATCCAATTTCTCTAGCTAACTCTTGAGATTTTTACCAGAATGAGCCTTCAGAATTCCAACTCTCCTAATATGAGGAAGAGTGAACGACAGAACATTAGGTGTACTAAGATTAGGGAAAAACAGAACCTGTCCTCTTTCTCCTCTAAGCTTCATCTTCAGTGTTATTCTGCACACCCTGGGTTCTGTAAGTCACAGGCACAGAGAGTAGGCAGAGAGGCAGGAAAGTAGAAAACAGACAACTGTAGGCAAAATGTGTGTGTGTGTGTGTGTGGCAGGCGGGGTAGGGGGTGAGTGGTGAACTAGGAAGGCCTGGCTGAATATCTTTGAAGATTTTCACTAGTTTGGAATTGAAATTACAGCCTTAATAAAAGTTGGGAGATATCCTTGGTGCTAGTTGCCATGGGATAAGACAGAAGCAGTGTGCATTTATTCCCCATTCCTGACTATTCTCTATGGATCATAGGGGCTGGAAGCAAGAGAACTATAATTCCCAGCTTAGCTCAGGCTTCTAGATGTTGTTAGTCTTCTGCCAACAAGATACACTTGTGTGAGAATTGGAAAATGGAATAAAAGTAGAAACCATTTTCTTGTTTTTCTGACAGCAGCAGATATATATATGGATGGCAGCAGACATGAAATAATTCCTTACCAGCCATCCATGTTTGTGCAGCAAGGCAGCTGTGATACACATCCTGTGATTTTCCAACCTAGGAAGCAGCAGGAATTTCTCGCTGTCCTGGACTAGAACTTCAGTGGTTGACCTAAAGATAATGGTGTTCTATCTACCCTGTCTCTTGCTTTTCCAGTCCTTCCAGTGATTCTACATGCACCACTTTTAATCCAGGTATTGCTTGAAATATTTTGAGTGTTTTGTTTGTTTTCCTAAATAAACTTTAACAAAGATTGTAACTGAGCCCAAAAGTAGCTTTAAGATAGTAATCTTAAAGCTTAGAGGGATTAGCTATCTGGCCCAATTCTGTTTGAAGTCAATGATAATGTTATCACTAGTGGAGGATGAGATCATGATAGTTTTAGGCAGAAATTGAAAGTTATTTGAATTATCAGTGGGGGGCTTCCCTGGTGGTTCAGTGAAAAGAGAATCCGCCTGCCAATGCAGGAGGTGGGTTTAATCCCTGATCCAGGAAGATGCCACATGCAGCAAAGCAGCTAAGCCCTTGTGCCACAACTATTGAGTCAGCGCTCTAGAGGCCCTGAGCCAAAACTACTGAAGCTCTAGGGCTTGAGTGCCCTAGAGCCCATGCTCTGCAACTAGAAAAGCCACTGCAAGGAGAAGCCACCGCGATGAGAAGCCTGCACGTCACAACTAGAGCGTAGGCTCTGCCTGCTGAAACTAGAGAAAAGCCCGCACAGCAACGAAGACCCAGCATAGCCGAAAATAAAATAAATTAATTAAATATATATATATCAGTGGGGAATAAATTTCCTATTGAAGACAAGTCTTTGCTAGACCAAATAGTTGCTAAGTTAGACCCTTCTGGTGGGAATGATATAACAAGGATTATGCTGCTGCTGCTGCTAAGTCACTTCAGTCGTGTCTGACTCTGTGACCCTATAGACGGCAGCCCACCAGGCTCCCCTGTCCCTGGGATTCTCCAGGCAAGAACACTGGAGTGGGTTGCCATTTCCTTCTCCGAACAAGGACTATAGAGAGGGCTAATTGCTTCTGAATGCCATGGAGAGTCTATCCAGCAAAATGACAGCTCAGGGACTTCCCTGGCGGTTCTAGTGATTAAGACTTCGCTTTCCAATGCACAGGGTGCAGGTTCAATCCCTAGATAGGGAGCTAGGATCATACTCCCCCCCCCCCAAAAAAAACAAACAGAAGCAATATTGTAACAAATTCAATGAAGACTTTCAAAAATTATTTTTAATTTAAAAAATGAAATGACTTCCCAGAGAACTAGAGAATTTCAAGCTCTGTAACTTCTGTAGCTTCAGGGAGAAAGTGAGTGAAGTCGCTCAGTCGTGTCTGACTCTTTGCGACCCCGTGGACTGTAGCCTACCAGGCTCCTCCATCCGTGGGATTCTCCAGGCAAGAGTACTGGAGTGGGTTGCCATTTCCTTCTCCAGGGGATCTTCCCAACCCAGGGATCGAACCGGGGTCTCCCGCGTTGCAGGCAGACGCTTTACCCTCCGAGCCACCACAAATCAGACTCACTGTTTCATCCTCCTGATTACCAAATTATCATAAAAATTGAATCCACAGTTTTATTAGGGCTCATCTGTGAAAGCTTGGGATTAATCTAAAACCCCAAGACTTGGAATGGGGACATCCTGGTAATTTGGGTTGAATTTGATTATCTTAAACCCTCAAATCCCACTGAGTCCCCTTTGCCACCTGAAACACTCCCTTCTCCCCTCTTTGAGATGCTGGTGATTCCTTGCCTCCCTTGCCACCCCTTGCTTGAAGATTCTGTAATGGCTTCACTAAAAAATCAACTTTACAGAGGTATGCCAATGCTTCTTTACCTCTAGATCCACAGGGAGAGTCAGATTGCAACATACTCTAGGAAGGTGAGTAAGATGTCTGACACCAGAGGAGACACTTACACAGGGAAACAGTTGTAAGACATTGCTAGAGTACATTAGTGTTGGAGGATTTCTCTGTAGGGGTGAGTTCTAGACCAAGGAAGAAGGAATATAAAATTGAAATCATTCATGTGTTTGCGGCACTAGAGATTCTGGATTTAGTGTATTAATTCAATCAGTTAGCAATGGCTCTAAGGGTCTGCTGAGTTCGTTGACTGAAACCGGGCTCAAATTACTATTGTTGTTGTCTAGTTGATAAGTCATGTCCAACTCTTTTGCAACCCCGGGGATGGTAGCACTCAATGCTCCTCTGTCCATGGGTTTTCCCAGGCAAGAATACTGGACTATGTTGCCATTTTCTTCCCCAAGGGATCTTTCTGACCCAAGGATCAAACCCAAGTCTCCTGCATTAGTAGGCAGGTTTTCTTTACCATCGAGCCACCAAGGAACTCAATTATGGCCTTCATTAAATTAGATTAAGATACTAGAACTTTCTTGGCTTAATAGAAAAGAAAGGATCCAAAGACATCAGAAGAGGGAATTCCCTGGCAGTCCTATAGTTAGTATACTACGCTTTCACTGCTGAGGACCTAGGTTCATTCCCTGGTTGGGGAATTAAGATCCCACAAGCTTCATGGCCAAAAAAGAAAAACTGGATAACTACCTGTAAAAGAATGAAATTAGAATACTCCCTAACACATACACAAAAATACCCCCCCCCCAAAAATAAATAAACCCAAACAAATTAAAAATCTAAATGTGAGGCCGGTCACTATAAAACTCTAAAAGGAAAATATAGGCAGAACATTTTTTGACATAAATTGTAGCAAGATCTTTTTTGACTCACCTCCTATAGTAATGAAAATAAAAACAAAGATAAACAAATGGGACCTAATTAAATGTAAGAACTTTTGCACAGCAAAGGAAACCATAAACAAGATGAAAAGACAACCCTCAGGATGTGAGAAAATATTTGCAAATGAAGCAGCAGACAAGGGATTAATCTACAAAATATACAAACAACTCATGCAGCTCAAAAAAAAAAAAAACCACAATCAAAAAATGGGCAGAAGACCTAACTACACATTTCTCCAAGTGAGTGAAGTCGCTCAGTGGTGTCTGACTCTTTGCGACCCCATGGACTGTAGCCTACCAGGCTCCTCCCTCCATGGGATTCTTCAGGCAAGAATACTGGAGTGGGTTGCCATTTCCTTCTCCAGGGGATCTTCCTGACTCAGGGATGGAACCTGGGTCTCCTGCATTGCAGGCAGACACTTTAACCTCTGAGGCGCCAGGGAAGACCATTTCTCCAAAGAAGACATACAGATGGCTAAGAGGCACCTGAGAAGATGCTCAATATCACTAATTATTATTGTTCAGTCACTAAGTCATGTCTGACTCTTTGACCCCATGGACTGCAACATGCTAACAACCTTCCTATTCTTCACTACCTCCCAGAGTTTGCTCAAACTCCATTGAGTTGGTGATGCCATCCAACCATCTCATCCTCTGTCATCCCCTTCTCCCCTTGCCCTCAATCTTTCCCAGCATCAAGATCTTTTCCAGTGATTCAATTCTTCACAATCAGGAGGCCAAAGTATTGGACTTCAGCTTCAGCATCAGTCCTTCCAATGAATACTCAGGGTTGATTTCCTTTAGGATTGACTAGTCTGATCTTCTTGCAGTCCAAGGGACTCTCAAGAGTCTTCTCCAACACCACAGTTCAAAAGCATCTTCAGCACTCAACTTTCTTTAGAGTC